GCCTCATAAAGTATTTTCTTTACATCAATTCTGCGAGGCTACATTACACAGTAAAGAAGGGACTTTCCTAAAATTCCTTGTTAACTAAGATATGAAAGTGGAAAAAAAAAATCCTATGGCTTCCAGTAAGATGCTTTATCATCACTGCAACCGTTAACACTGATCAAGCACCTACTGTGTGTAAGGCACTGTGTTAGGCACTGTGGGTGAGATGCCAAGAAAACAAAATAACAATAATGATCAATAATAAACATTTGCGTCGCAACTTCAGGTTTGTAAAGCTTTTTACACATAGCCTATTTTATCCTCAACAGCCCTGTGAGTTAGGTACAAATATTATCTTCATTTTTGTGGATGAAGAATCTGAGGCTGGGAGAGGTTAAGTGACTTGACTAGCTTTACACAACCAGTGAGTGGATGAGGCAGGATTTATCTAAAGCCCTAGCCTCGTTCCTAAGAAGACAGGCTCCAGAAGTTTTCAGTCTTCCTGGAGAGACAAAACACACTTAAGAAAAGACTTGGCAGAAGTTGTGAAGTAATGAATCAATTGCTCTGAAACCTTACAGACTTTTGTTGTTCAGTCGTTCAGTCCTGTTTGACTCTTTGTGACCCAGTAAACCATAGCATACCAATATTGTCCATGCGATTTTTCTTGGTAAAGATACCGGAGTATATTGCCATTTCCTTCTCTAGTGGATTCAGGCAAACAGAAGTTAAGTGACTTGCCCAGGATCACATAGCTAGTAAATGTCTGAGGCTGGATTTGAACTCAAGTCTTCCCGACTCTAGGCCCAGCACTCTATCCGTTGAGTTATCTAGTAGCCCCCATTACAGACTGAGTAAATGGGTGATTAAAATGTGGTTAGTACCTATTCTCAATATGGATTCTTACACTAACAGTCCTTGGTTCAAAAAAGACATAGGAGGAACAGTTAATAGAACTAGAGAAGTTTAGCCTAGAGGAGGTGGCTTGGAAGGGGAAATAGGGAAAGGGGAAATGATCACTATCTGTCAAACTTTTTTTTTCTTTTAGGTGATTGGGGTTGAGTGACTTGCCCAGGGTCACACAGCTAGTAAGTGTCAAGTGTTTGGTCTGAGGCCGTATTTGAACTCAGGTCCTCCTGACTTCAGGGCCGGTGCTCTATCCACTGCACCACCTACCTGCTCCTATCTTTCAAACTTTTAAAATTTAAATTATATAGTTTTTTTTAATGTAACCTTGATTTTATCCCCTTCCCATCAAAAAGAATAAAAAAGAGAAAAAAGCAATTCAATGAATTAGCCAATATACCAACGTAATATGACAGTGTATGTACCCACAGTCTCCCACCTCTGCAAAGAAGGGAGGGAGGTGCATATGCTTTCTGAAGCATCCACACGTGTAATTTTGTCAGGGATTTCTTGCTTTGTTGCTCATTTAAACAGAAAGTATATTCTTGGGCAAATGGCTCACATTGGGAGGGGAAAAAGCCATCATGAGCCCAGAGCTAACTTCCACTTCCTAGCTCATGTTTCTGTCCTGAATGAATCTGTCTCCAAGGAGATAAGGGCTGTTGACAGTAACCCAAAATTTCAATATAAATTTCATGTTGTACAGTTCCCAAAGAGCAAATTGTTAAATAATCAGGCTGTATTTCCCAAGCTTTTTAGCTACTGCTCCCTTGAATCTCTCCTCTACCAAGGTGAATATACTGTTTCCCTGATCTTTTTTTCCTCTTGAATGCTTATTGGATGATGGAGGAGCAGCCCTGGATTTTCAATTAGAAGAACAAAAGACAAACCAGATTACTTGGTCGTCCTCTAAGCCAGATGGTAGGGACAGGAATGATTTGGAATGGTTTAAGGAAACTCATGTGCTTTTTGGTATTTCCATCCAGGCACAGGGAACATCTGTCTCTGTAGCTTTCCCTGGGGAGCCCAAATTCACCGTATCACCATGTTGGAATGTGGCAGAAGTGGCTCCTGAAGGCTTCGAAGCCTTTCAGGGATATTAGTACCAATGGTAGCCATTGGTCACACAGAACAGTTCCAGTAAATCAGGCCCTCCCTACACAGAAGCTCCTCTGTTTTTAGCAAATGGATTCTCACCACCATTCTCAATACTTTCCATCAGGGCTGTTCCTAGTGGGGAATGGGGCACAAAGCCATCTGCAGAGAGGCAGACTTGGAGCAAATTACACCATGCCTCCCTTCATCCACTCACCTTACCCTTTCCCACACACTTTCCATCATGTGAATCCAGTTGAAAAAGAATTTCAAGGGCAGCCTTGGAGGGGAAAAGACATCATAAGATATACCTGGAGGGATTTGTTTGACATTCAAGACCTCCCCCTATCTGGTCCTAGCACATGAAGTTCTAGACTTGATGCAGACTTTTAAGTTGCTTATTTTTTGCTGTTTGCAGTTTTCCAACATTACTTTGTCTTTGGGCATATTATTTTAAAGCATGATTGCAAGTCCTGGAATCTAATCACCTAAAAGGCAACAGCAATGAAGTTCATGACAAAAATGGTCACGCAGGCAACAAAACCTGTAGTAAATAATGCAGGGTACTGTCTTCACAGGCAGCTAGGTAGCACAATGGATAGAATGCCAGGCCTGGAGTCAGGAAGACCTGAATTCATATCTGGCCTCAGACATTTACTAGATATGTGACCCTGGGCAAGTCACTTAATCTTGTTTACCTCAGTTTTCTCATCTATAAAATGAACTGGAGAAGGAACTGGCAAACTACTCCAGCATCCTTGTCAAGAAAACGCCAAAAAGGGGTCACAAGACATCACTGAAAATGACTAAACAACCGCTGCCTTCACATTCATTTTATATGTATTTGTATAAGTGTACTCACCCATATGTATCTGGTTATGTGTACAAAAATCTTTCCAAGGCTAAATGGTAAGGGAAGCCAGGTTGTGTAACTCTGTGTTGACTGACTGGTAGGATATTACCTAGAAGAAGATATTTTTTTGTGATAGAAGTGGTTCATCTGTTTACAAAGCCTCCTACAACAAAATGTTGGTACATTTGTTCTTATGACCATGTTGATACATCACTCCCAATTTCATTTCTATGGCTTTTTTCTTTTTGGCCAGCTCTGCCCAAATGAGAGGTATGTTTAAAAAAAATAAGCAATCCTATTTACAAAGAGATTAAATGTGAAAAGAGTGATGGACTTGGGGACAGGAAGTCTTGGGTTCAGAAACAGCTTTATACTGTGTGACAACAGGCACCGTATTTAACTTATTTATAGGGTACTTAATCATCTGACAAATGAGATGATGTTTGTCAATGGCTTTTAAACTCTAAAGTGCTATGTAAATATCAGCTATCACCTATAATGTTGAATAACTTTTGAAGAATAAGGAAGCAGATTTGTTGGTGGCTACAAGAGGCTGCTGAAAGATGGTGGTGTGGTGAAAAAAAAAAACCACACTGAATTTGGAGTCAGAGGACCTAGGACCAAATTTTAGCTTTTCTACTTGCTACCTGTGACTTTAGACAAATCACTTTATTGCCCAGTTTCCTAACCTGTAAAACAAATGGATTGGACAAGATGAATGACTCTTCTAGCTCTAAAGCTCTCAGTCTTTCAAAGGGTTATTTCTCCAAGGACAGAGGAAGGCTTTCTTCCTTCTGTGCCTAGTTAAAATTACATTCCTTTAGCAGTTCTGGATGAAAAAGGAGACTTGGGTGTTTTATATTTTGTATGTGAATTACATACAAGAAAGCTCATATAACATCATTACTTACTTTTGTAATGCAAAATTGTTGGATGTTGACCCAGTCACTTTCTTGGGTCCTTAATTTTATCTATAGAATAATGGGATTGGAGATGATCTCTAAGGTCCTTCATAATTCTAAGCCCTGATCCTAGGAATTCTTATCAAGATTTCACCTCATGAATGAGAAGTTTTAATGATTCCCCCACTTCGAAGTATGGGAACGGGCAGCAAAACTGGTGAGTTATTTGGAAGAGCCACTACTCCAGCACATATACTGGATGTGTCTTACTGTCACTATTTTGGGCTCTTCCTGCTTTGCAGTTATTCAGTGTGGTATATACTCTTGGTGCTGGCATACCAGTGTATAGTGCTACCCATGCTCAGGAAAGAGAACCATTAAAAAACAATTTCCAAAAGGCATCCTGTGTTCCATCCTATATTCACGATAGCCTATCTACTCCCAAATGGAAGAAATGAACTCAAGACTTTCCCCTCTTTTCCCATTGTCTGATACCTTTGGTAGAGGTATATGAGGAGTTAGTAGGAAGTCAGAGTAGGGGAGGCAATCATTTCTCCTTAAATTTTCTTGGCAACATCTTTTGGACAAGTAACCTCTCCTTACTACCATTTCTGCAGCTTGTCTACTTAAAATAACTTACCTTACCTTTGACCCCAGAAACTCAGCTCTCTGGCACATAGAATTCTGTTTGCTGTGTTCCGCTGGGGAGGCCAAACTGTCTGGAATAGCCTTTGTACACAGCAGCTACCTCCCATTGGGAATTAGTTGTTCCCAATAGTGGCTGTACACCTGCATACCTTCCATCTTCTTGCCACCTGCTATGCCGTGTCAAGAATTGGGGATTGTAGCTCATCCAAATCAATGAGCTCACTAATTGTAAATAGCTCTAGTGAGGCAGAGCTATTGCTGAATGATTCTTTTAGGGGTGGGAGGGGAGCAGAGAAAAGGAGGAGGATATGGTGAGGAGGGTCAGAACATAATATATCATCTAATCTGGAACCCTTAAATTATCCAGATCCTTTTTTATTTTTTCAGAGAATGCACAACTCTAACACAAGAGTTGAATATTAACTCTGAAAAGGCTAAAGAGAGAAACACACGCAAAAATCAGACAAAGGAGAGCTGGAGTTTAGTGTATGTCCACTTTTTTTTTTCTCCAACAGGTTTATTTTTAAAATAAGGAACTGGATTTTTTTTTTGGGGGGTAAAAGATGAGTTGAGGATGGGGTATGGAATAGAAAATAAATACAAATATAAACTGTTTTGCTAACTCTTTTATAACCACAATGAACTAGTACAGAGGAGGCCCTATACAAGAACAACACAACAAAGGCTTAAAGATCGAGGTGTTCCCGTGGCAAGGCTGAAGTTTTAGTCTCTGGGATTTGGAATTTAGGCCGCAGTCCTTGTTGGATGGATGGATGGATGGATGGATGGATGGATGGATAGATGGATGAAGAGGGTAGCACAGTCCGCGTTCTAACCAGACTTGAAGAGGAGGATGGCCACCTGGCCCATGTAGAAGTAGATGAAGTGCTTCGTCTCGTGCGTCACGTAACTGCCGAAGTTCCTCCCCACGATGCAGTGCCAGGTAGGGTTGTACTTCTTGTCGAACTCCTTCTTGATGTGGGCCGCGATGTCCTTCTCGATGTTGTACTTCTCCAGGGCCTGCGTAGCGCACTCCACCGAGTCCTGCTGCATCTCCTCCGACATGTCCGCGTTCTTGATCACGGCCTTGCGGTCAGACATGGCTACCCTTCCTCAACCACTTCGAGCGAGGGCCAAAAACCCGGAGCAGGCCCCACGAGGCGTCGGGAGCGGAAGGCCTTGCTTCTGGGGGCGATTCACCCACCGTGGCGGGCGGGGGGGAGCGGGGTATTGCCCTGGTAGACTTGTGAGGTGCGCTTCTACAAGGACGGCCGCATCGGGCTCAGCGACCTCTGGAACTGCTGCGGCCTGGCGCCCTTCGTCTTCGTGCGCGTCGAGGACCCCCGTTGGGGTGCCTGGCACGAGCTCCCACAGTGCTCTGCGAGTGCTTGCCTCTGCCCCTCCCTGACTAGCAAGCTGCCTCCCACAGTGCCCCGCGCGCCGCCCCGCTGTCGTCTCCCCTCCCTGTTGCCCTCATGGTGCCCCGCCCCCCACACCTCCGTTGGTCCCAATCCTTCCTGGCTCTCCCTCTCCACGCCGTTACCCCGCCCCTTCCTGTCCCGCCCCTCCTCCCTGCCACTGGCTCCTCCTCCACGTGCTGTTGGCCCCGCCCCACGCTCTCCCTGCAAACCCCCACAGTGCCTTTCCGGCCTCAACATCCTTTCCCCACACACCACCTACTACTAGTGTACTAACCTGAGTGCTGAGGACTCAGTACTAGTCACGGTGGTGCAAGAAATCATTCAGTAAAGCCGTGATTACAGCTCTGGGCCAAAGGAGATTATCTCTGCAACACTGAGAGAACATTTGTCACATCCCTTTGGTCCCAGGGATTTAGTGACGGACACAAAGCCAAAGCAAATGGTTTCACTCCCTTCCCCTCCTCTTCCTCTTCTCTTCTTCTCCAACAGGAATCCTGAGGATACTTTACAAAATGGGACAATCTGCTCTTGCGGAAAGAGCCCTGGAGTTAGAGGTCCCTGGGTGACCTTGGACAAGTCACTTCCACTCTAGCCCCGAGTTTCCTGACATGATGGGGTTGAACTGGATGAGCTCTAAAGTCCTTCCAGATAGAATTTTAAAGAAAGATTCAAGACAGAGAGAAACAGAAACAGGGCCTCTGGCCTAAGGAGTTTTAGTTCAGCAGTTCTGTTGAAGTCACTCAAGATGACTGCCCTTGGCTTTTCATATTAAAAAAAAAATTACATATGGTTAAGGCCAGAATGACAAGAGCTGCAGAATATCCAGCTTACTACATACAGCTAAATAAAAAATAAAAGCAGGGTAGATCAAACCCTAAGTCAGATGGAGACTTTGATGGAAATCCAGAGGATCAAGAGGGGGAGGTTCAAAGACACATGAGTGCCTTGGGACTCCTCTGTTTAGTTGGCTGGTTGTTCCGTGTTCCAAAAGAGCTTGGCCTCTGGAGGTATAGCTTCTTGCTGCTGAGAAAATGCCAACTGCTGCCGAGACCCTGGGAACTGACAGATCTTCCTTAAGCTGGGGAGAAAAGCATATGAAAGTCTTTCCCCTTCCTCCCATACTGATTGTGTGAAGGCCTCACTTCCCTGGAAGAGCAGAAGCCTAAGTTTCAGGGCTCTGTTAAAAGAAAGGGGGTGGAGGTCCCTCTTCCTTATAGGGAAGAGATTTCACTTTATCTAAGAACTTTTGTTGAAAACAGGAACTAGACCATTGCCTAGCAAGTACCATGAGACTTGAGGAACATCTGACGGGAGAATACACATTAGGTAAGGTCACTGGGGATCAGGTCTAGGAAGCCTCTTGATAACATTTGTGGCCCTGCCGTGATGGAGGTGTGAGTTGCCTTCTCTGTATGCTGGTGTTGATTTTCCTACAGAAAAGCAATCCCAGGTTAGAAGTATTGCTCTTTAATTGTTTCGTTTCTTGTTTTTTGCTTTTTTTCCCTCCCCCCCAGTCAATTTCCTCTCCCCAAATAGATGGTCAGGTCTTTGAGGACAGGGACCGTGCATACCTTTAGACATATTTTTAACCCTCTCCCTTAGCACAGTAACAGTAAGACAGTAAATGCTTGGTACTTTGATTTGAATACTGAAATGGCCGGCACAGCCACAAGGAAAAAGCAAATACCACATGCTCAACCTACATCCTGTATTTAATCCTTGGGTAAATTCTTGGTTTCTTTAGCAAGAATTTTCTGATAGCAGCCAGCTTTAGGATAGTAGTTAAAATCAAACTCTATCTTCTTGGGAGTGGTCAGGACAATACTGAAGAGAATATAAACACCCAGTGAGGACAAAGGAATGTGGAGAGATACTAGAGAAAGAGAGAGCCTAAGGGGTTGAACCTGACAAAATCTTTTTGGTACCCAGAGCCTATCTGATTCACCTTAGTAATGCTCCTTCTGTGACCTCTATGCTGCCATTATCCTTGCTTTTTGCAAGTTTAGTCACTTTGTAAAATACTCCTTTCTCGTTCTCCCTTCCACATTGATTCTCCACAGAAGAGTGCAGCTTATTATTAGAATAGTGGTTTTTATAAGTAAAATACTTTAACACTATCACTTTCACTTGTTATAGAAAAGTTGTATTTTTATGGTCTGGCTCAAGACCAAGGTTATTCCACAAAAATGGATTTTCCAGAAAAAAATGGAATTTTTTTTTTCTCCAACAAGAATTTTGTGGGGGGAAAAATGTACCTTGTTTAAATAGATAGGATATAAAAACATGCAGCTATCACCCTTTTCCTGCTCCTCATCTTCCTAATTTACCTGCTTTTTCTTTTTTATTAATGAATTAAAATTCAGAAACATTTAAAATGGAAATAATTATGAAATTGGCTGAACACAACTTAAAAAATGCCATAGAAGTTTCATAAGCACTATTTAAATCTTCTTTCCAATCTCATTCATTCATAAAGCTGACATTTCTATGAAAATGATATTTTACTTGACCTCCTTTGGAAACTCACAGATATTCAAAATGCTGTTTTCAGCCAAGACTTCTAGGGCCCTCATGGAAACTGTAGACTTTTTGGCATAGGTCTGAACAAAAACATACCTTTACCTAACTTCAATTGGTAAAAGCTTTTTACATATGAAAAAGGACAAAATATTGAATATATTAGAAACGTGCATTTTCTAGCTTTCCAGACATTTTGCTGCCTAGAAGATTCTTTCTTTAGGGGGCCCATATGCACCATCAAGTTAGAGCATTTTTCTTGACATTTCCATTTTTATCAGTCTTGAAGGGGAAACATTGCTGGGGTGGGGGAGCCCTCTCATGGAGCTTCTAATCTAATACAGTGATAAGGCATCAAACCAAATATCTATGTAACAGTTTTCTGGTCCCAGGAGGGCTGGGTCATGACACTTACCCTTTCCTACTAAGAAGCAGCTAGTTTGGAATATGTATATGCCAATCAGGTTTAGTTCTATGGGTCCCTGGGTTAGACTCTACACAGATGGGTTAGGCTCTTTTTCTTGAACTTGGTTTGTTATATCCCCACTCCAGAGACCCAAGGAGAATCACAAAGCTTAGGATTGATTGGTTCATGTCTAAGGTCTCCCCAAAAAGGAGTAGAAAGATACTCAAAGTACAACATAGAACAATTATAGGGCAGTTACCTTTTTCTTCCACAGAAAGAAGATGATTTTTTATCAACAAATTTTTATCAACAAAAGACAGCATTCACTGACAAAATTTTAAATATGAAGCAGTAACTTAAAACATAGGTTGATACTTAAAACATCAAAATGTGAAGCATTTTGTGAGGACTGCTGAATCCACGCTTTATGTTGACTTGGCTCTATGTCTTTCAAACAGCTCTCTCTAGGCCCATGTCTTCTGTCAAACCAGGCCAGGACTGGAACTCATCCTCCTGCTGGTGGTCGTTCCTGAGAAGTTCTTTAGTAGATGTAAGACATTCAAGCAGCACCAGCTGAGGAACCCAGGAATCTTCAACCTCTCAAATTCACAAGTTTGCCACTAAAGCTGGAAATGTTCATCTCAAAGTCACTATTCAATCACCTGTGCTTAGGGCAAGAAAAATGAAACAGTAGAGGTCCCAAGCAACCCAAACTCAAGCTCACCTAGCTAAGCCCCTGCGGTGGCTGCCATGAGTGAATGGTGACTATTTCTGCTAGGTCAGAGGAAGGTGTCCCTCTACCACTCCTCATGTGAAATCCTAGAGAGGCTGTCCTTGTTCCATATGATATGTTCTAGAGAGGGAAAAGAAAAAGGAGCCAGAGCACAGAGTTACTTCCTGGTTTAGTAGTCAATACTCACTGACACACTTTTGACATGATGCCTCACTTGTGCCCCTCTCTCTTGAAATTGTAACAGGGGAACCAAGGGAACTCCTAGTGCTTACTGTGACAACCCAGAGTGGCAAGTCCTTGAGAGATGAGCACATACTCCTGGAAATGGCTAGACTGTGATCCCAAATTAATGTAATGCTAAATTAATTGATCAACATATTGAGAAAGTTGGGAGAATTACCTGGAGGTTAGTCCATGATAGCAACGAGGATCAATCAGTCAACTAACAGCTAGCACTTATTAAGCATCTACTCTGTGCCAAGTATTGTTCTGGACACTGGGATTCAAAGAGTGAAATGATGGGGAAAACAACACATGCATATATAAACACATACAAATAAATACAAAATAAACTTGTTGTGGAGGGGGAGAAGGAAACAAAAGGAACTGGGAGAAACAGGAAGGGCTTCATTGTGGCTCCTGAACAGAGGTTTAAAGGGAAATGGGAATTCTAAGAGGTGGAGGAAGAGGAAGGGAGTGTAATCCAGCCATGTTGAATAGTCAGTGCAAAGGAGTTGAAATCGAGATAGAGTGTTGTAAAAGAAGGGCAAGAAGTCCAGTTTTGGTTGGACTGCAAAGTGTGGGAAAGGGAGTCAATGTATTAGTAATGTTAAAAAGGTAGGTTGAGGCCAGATTGGGAAGGGCTTTAAAAGGAAAAAAGAGGAACTTATGTTGATTCTGGATACAATAGGGAACAAGTGGATTTTATTAAGTAATTAAATGACATGGTCAAACCTGCTCACTCTTTAAGAAAAACACTTTGGCAACTTGTGTGTAAGGTAGATTGAAAAGAGGTTGAGGGAAGGTAATGTGAATAATGTTTTAATAATAATAAATAATGGACTTTCAAAGGAGAAGAAAATCATGGAGGACTTATGACAGAGATAGGGTCTGGAGGTGGCAGTGGGGAATATGTCATATCTATCAGAGTAGCAAAGATATCAAAAAAGGAAAATGATAAATTTTGGAGGGGTTATGGGAAAATAGACATATTGATGCAATGTTGGTGGACTTGTGAATGAATACAATTCTAGAAAGCAAATTGAGATTATATACAAAAAGTTGCTAAAAAGCACATGTGCTTTCATTCAGCCATACTACTTCTAGGCCTATATTTTTGAAAAGATCAAAAGAAAAGGAAAAGGGTCTTTATGTACAAAAATATTTATAGTAGCTTTTTTTTTGTGATGGCAG